GAGTTTGGTCACACAAACTGTGAAGAAGTTTTTCCTTATATCCAGTTTGAAACCTGCTTCTAGGAGTTTATGACTATTGCTCCTGGTTTTCCCCTGGGGCACTTTGGTGACTAGTTGTTCACCTAGCCCCTGATGGTCACCCCTAATATACTTTTAAGCTGCCACCAAATCCCGCCAAAGTCTTCTCTTTTCTAGGCTGAACAGTCCCATATCTGTCAGCCTTTCCTCATATGGCTTGCTTTTCAAGCCACTAATCATATGAGTGGTTCATCTCTGGTCTCTCTCAAGCTTCTCCACATCCTTCTTGAAGTGTGGTGCCCAGAACTGGATACAGTACTCCAGCTGCAGCCTCGCCAATGCTGAGTAGAGTGGGAGAATAACTTCTTTAGTTTTGCTTGAGATGCATCTGTTGATATATGCCAGAGTATTGTTTGCTCTGCTAACTGTAGCATCACACTAGTGGCTCATATTCATTTTATGGTCAAGTGTAACCCCCAGGTTCCTTTCAGTTGTGGTGCTAACTAGTGTAACACTATTGAGCCTGTAAATTTGTTGCAGATTTTTCCTTCCCAGATGAACAGCCTCTGGTTCTGGTCCACCCATCTAAGTAATCTGTCTAGGTCTGCCTGAATTGTTAGCCTACCCTGAGGCATGGCCATACTTCCCCACAGCTTAGTGCCAGTGGTGAACTTTGCCAGTGTGCTTTTCACCCCCATATCCATATCATTGATGAAGATGTTGAAAAGCACTGGCTCAAGTCCCGATCCCTGGGGGACCCTACTGGCTACCTTCTGCCCGGTTGACACAGATCTGTCTATTAGTACTCTCTGAGTCTGACCCCAGAACCAGCTTCCCACCCATCTGACCATTGAATTACCGAGCCCATAGTCCCCTAGTTTTACCTGGAGAGCCTCATGGAGAACCAAGTCAAAGGCCTTCCTAAAGTTCAAGTAAATGATGTTGACCTCATCTCCCTTATCCAGGTGGTGAGTAACCTGGTCGTAGGAGGAGAGGAGGTCAGTCAGACATGACCTACCAGCGACAAAACCATGCTGGCTGTCATTCAGAATTTTGCCTTCTACTAACTTATCACATATGGACTTCTTGAGAAATTTTTTGAGGATTTTTCCTGGGATTGAGGTCAGACTGATTAGCCTGTAGTTCCCTGGGTCCTTTCTTCTCCCTTTCTTGAAGATGGGCACAACATTGGCCCTCTTCTAGTCTTCTGGAACCTCTCCTGAGCACTATGAATTCTCAAAGAGGTTTGCCAGGGATGACTTCAGCTGCTATGAACTAGCTGCGATGACTTCAGCTAGTTTGTTCAGCACTCTTGGACGGAAGTAATCTGGTCCTGCTGACTTATAGCTATCCAGCCTCTCTAGCTGTTCTTCCACCAGCTCAACATTGATAGTTGGCAGGTGATCATCCCTACTGTGACTATTCTGTGTCATATTTGCATTTGCAAGCTATCACTCTTAGATTGGTGGAATACAGATGCAAAGTACTTGTTCAGGAGTTCAGTTTCAGTTTTCTCCTTCACATTTCCACTGGTTTTCTTCCTGTTACCTACATACCTATAAAAAAAACCTTCTTATTGTCTTTGATTTCAATTGCTAACCTAAATTTGGTCACCGCCTTTGCTTTTCTAATCTGCCCCCTACAGGTGTGGGCTAATCTTACGTAGTTCTCCTTGGGGCCTATTCCTAGCTTCCATAATTCGTAAGCCTCACTTTTATTTTTTCAGAAGATCTGTGACTTCTCTATTGAGCCAAGATGGCCTCCCAGCCCCTGTCACCTCCAGTCACCCTCCTGTGCTCCCACCAGTAGAGCAGAGCAAAATCCGGGACATTGATTCAAATTTTTAAAAAAACAAAACACCTGGACAGAGATTGGAGGCTCCAAAAAGAGAACATGTCCAGGAAAATCCAGAAGTATGGTAACCCTAGTTTAATATTAGGTCTAAAATGTTCATATCCAAGGTTTTAAGTCTATGTACAGACCTGACACTTAATGGACTTTAAGCATGCAGAAATTGCTTTACACCCATAACAAAACAGATATTCATGGCACATAAAGCACTTTAAAAATTGTGGATCCTGCTCTAAGTTAGGATGTGTTAGTACACATACTGGATGGATGTGTACCAAACAAAAGTGCACCTGTTAGAGTGCTTTGTTGAACGTTTGTGCCAGGTCCCATTGAGGGTTAACTTAGAGCTCAATCACTGCCACCCCAGGTGCTGTTGCACAGAGCTGCTCTATCCTTGGGCAAAACTCATTTGCTCTACCTGAGTACCAGGTTGTCCCACCCCCTCAGCTGTCACTGACCCGAGCCAGGGACAGCCTCTGATGCCAGCCCCACATGCAGCCTGGCCGGGGCAGTGGCAAGGGCGGTTTCTATCCCTGCAGCTGCCCTGGTTCCATGGTGCATCACAATCTGGCCAGGGGTTGCTATAGGGGAAGGAGTCCAGGGTCTTTCTCCTGGCAGCCAGTGCTGGAGTAGCCCCTCTCCCCAGCCCTACCTCATCCCCCCACCAGCTGGTGACTGTCAGCAGTGGCTGGGGGAGAGGGGGGAAGGGACCTCCCACTGCAAGGACCCCCCCCACACACACACAGCTTCCTGGCTTAGGGGTCGCTGGGTCAGGGGAGTTGGCCCAGATCTGCACAGCATGGGAACTCCCTTTCACCCATGGCCCAGTTCCTGGAGCATCAAAACATTGAGCTAGGCAGCTCTTGTAGCTGCTGACTGTTTCTGTCAAGAGGCTGGGGAGGAGGGAAAGGGACCCCCCCACACACACTGCAAGGACCCTCCCCCACAGCTTGCTAGTTGGGGTCTTTGAGGGAGCTGGGTTGGATCCGCATGGTGGGGGCTCCCTCCCTCTACAGTCCCAGTTCCTGGTGTGAGGAAACACCAGGCTGGGCTGCCTCTCCTGCAGCTGCTGGCTGCCACTGTCAAAAGGTTTGACTGGAGGGGGAAGGGAGACCACCCCACCATTGGGAGCTGTCCTGGCTCCCCCAAAGACCCCACCTAGAAAGCTGACTCCCTTTTCCCCTGCTGCTATCAGTCAGGTAAAATGTCCATTGAGTTTAGAGAAAGTAGAGTTAGGCCAATCCTGCATCCTTTTGAAAATCCCACCCATGATATTAAAACCAGAAATGGGTCTGTATCAAAATCAGAGATCCAGACTTCTCTGAGTTTTGGAGAGGTTCAGATCTAGATATGAAGTCTTCAGCTTTTCCCTCTCTGTTTTAAATCATTGCCCCAGAATCAAATTCTTCTAAATTATAGAAAAGCTCATGTCTTCTTTGCAGTAGTAGCCTCTCTTTAAAAATTAAAATCTCTTATTCTTAGTCATGAATTCAACAATTTCCCATCTCATCTTTAATAATTATTCCCCTTCCCTATATAAATAATTTGCAAATCCTGCTTGTATCGTATTTAAATGTTCTCCCCACATTTTCTCTAACAAATGACATCCATCTACATCCTAAGTAAAGCTGTTGCAGTTCCTCCTTGTCTGTCGTTGTCTTTCTTAAACTGATGCTCATTTTTTGTCTCATGCTCTCTTTCTTCTTTGTGGGGGACAATACATTGTGTTGAAGGAAACTGATATATCATTTGCTGCTACAGGCTTATATCTAATCTTTTGCCCTTTGACCAGTTGGTTGGAGTGCTCTGCCTTAGCTGCAAGTTTTAGTTTAAACCTTTGTTGCAAGAGCTTTCTATGATTCTGTTCAGGAGGCATTCATTTGAAGCAAAGATGTATGTTAGGTCACTTATTTCTGAATACCCTGGTCATGCACTTCTTCCATAGGTCATATGAGCAACATAAGCCTTCTCCCAGCCTGGCTTAGCTTGATGTAAGTAAAAGCCATGATAGTATATGCATAGTAAAATTATGGAAGTAGGATTGTGAGCCGTGAATAACACTGATGTGTCCTTTGAATGTAAGGAAATAGGTGTCAATTGGTTCAGCACAAAAATGTAACCAAATTGGGAAAACCTGTATTAGGTATATAATTTATGATCAAGTTGTATAAAATTGGACTTCCATGAGCTCAGCACTGAAAGAAGAACTACATCAATGAAGTCCCTGAAGGAGCAGTGAAGCCTAGCCAGAAGACCTGTCCTCCTTCATATCCAAGGCTATATAAGCAGTGTCCTTACTTATTGATGTAAAAAAGCCATTGCTATAGTGTATCCCAATAAAGCTTTTGATTAGTGACTGGAATAGTCTCAGTAGTCATTAGTCTTACTCTCAACCTAGAATTCACAACTAACACTTCTGAGTGAAGAGGACATGCAAAGTAAAAATAATTAGATTTTGAAGATAGTATTATTACTATTATTTTTCAAACTCCTTCTCTGGGATGGAGGCTCTGTAATCTTAAAAGAAGGCACAGCCCTTGTCCTCAAACACTTTATTGTCTAAATCTGAGATTGACAACATGGCAGAGGCCCATATAATTAGCAGTTCATAATGAAGGAATGCACATATATCTATGTAGGATTATTATTGAAAAGCTTCCAGGAAGAAGTATATTTTGAAGGTATGTGAAATAAAAGAGGATGGTTAGTTGGGTTGAAAGTTGGAGCGGGGAATTACGCTCACACTGCATAAAAATTAATTCACCCCTACTGTCATTTCTACCCCAAAATCTGAAAACTTCTTGATTTGTGTTCATCAATAATTAAGGGCCCATCAGCAATACTCAGAGGGAGCTTACATTGCAGTTTTGAGCAGCCTGTTAGTAATGTACAGTGGATAGATCCTCTTTTTCAAATCCCAGGGCACCAGGCCATGCAATGCTAGTATTGCATTTTCAATTAGCTACTGAGTGAATGCTTGGCATATGTAGAAGTGAACTGGTACACAATTAGCTTATTGTTCCTTTCAGCTTTGTGCTGAGAGGATCTGAAGGACTGGACACACACACACACACACACACACACACACACACACAAATTGTCAAGCCAGAGGCATTGCTGTGAATGTGGAATGAGGGAGCTGCTCAGCTCATACAGATTCACTTGCTAACTCAGGAATTACAGCTGTTATTAAGAAGCACTCACTGTGGCTTTAGGGAGTGCGCCAGGGGATAATAACAGAAACAACTCTCTTATTTCAGTCATTCTGGGCTCTTTTCTCTTCTGATTCTCCTTATTGTTATTATGGAGCCCAACAGTCCTAAAAAGATACAGTTTGCTGTGCCATTATTTCAGAGTCAAATAGATCCTGAAGCAGCTGAACAGGTAAGCAAGCCAGGTTTTTTTCTTTACCTAGAGAACAAGGTGTGGGTGATAACAGGTAATATTCCTCGTCTAAATATTTCTTGGTGTAAAATGAAATTAAATCCACTGATTTATGTGTGGTACAAACAAAGTAGAGGAGAGCAGGATTTGTCCTGTTGTTAAAATGCTTGTTTCTTATTTATGCAGGTTTTAAAAGTGTATCTTAGCTGTTGTATGTTGTTTTTAGAAAAGGTAAGCACACTTGATATGAGTACATCATCTCAAACTCTCTGTTTATGGAAAAATAGTTAAAATATATTGTTTAAGATATTCTGACATACATTTGGTAGTATGTACTTAATGGAAATATTGTATAGTCAGGTTAGAAGACAAGGCACTTGCCATTTACTTTGATACGGGAGCAAATCATTCGAATTCTGCATAATCATTTATTCAACTATTCCCACATTTATAAGACTTATTTGGCAGTCTACCCATTCCATTAAATGTGTGTATATGGATATATGCATGGGTTTATAAATTCACACATACACACATATAGATATAAATGCATTATCACAGCATATTTTGACCCATAAAATGTATGCAGGTAAAGCTCATATTAGACAGAAATGGTATTGACGTATATGTTTATATCTGTATATAAAGAGCAATGAGTATGGAATCTTAGATGACAGACATGGATAATATCTATTAGTTTGTCTAGTCCATCAGTGTATGACTGTTCCTTGTTGTACATTTACTAATATTTTGATACATCTAGTTTTAATGGTACCAAAGATGCAATAGAAATTTGACAATGTCATTATTGGTGATGGCAGTGAAACTGTTTGCATCTGCATTTGAGGAGACATTTTGTTTCCTTAGTCTTCTGATGTAATGTCTCCTAAGAGGAGGCGGTGTTTGCCAGAAAATGGTAAGTTGGAGCAAGCCATGAAATAAAGAAAGATAGGAGATGATAAAAGAAAAGGCATCCTTAGGCTTTCAACTGATCCATAGATTATTTCTTTTGGAATAAAGTATATTCATAATTTAGGGAATAATTCTGTAGTTAACTCAAGCAAGACCTGTTCTCCCACTGTTTCAAAACCAATGAGAGTTATCACCTTCAACAACTACAAGATCAGGCCTTCACAGAATAACTACAGACATAGAAGTATTATAAGCCATATTTTGCCTCTAGCTCTTTATTATCTATTTTTATTTTACAAGCTCCCTATCATTTATTTTAGACATTGGATGAAATTAAATAAGTTTTGCTGTCAACTACATTTGTACAAATCCGGAATAATTTCACTGAGATTGATTGAGCTACTTTCCGTTTACACAACTGAGAACAGAATTTGCTCTGATCAATCTAGAGATGTTGCTTTTAAACAATTAGAAAAGAACCAATATATTGCCACTGAAGTTGTGTCACAGAATGGTTTCTGGCTAAATAGTCTTAAGTACTGTTGAAGAAATGTCAGGAGCCTGGAAGCTATAATATAAAGAAAAGAAAGCTTTCGATTCAAATATGTCCATTACCAAAGGTTTATCCAATGCTGTATTAGTTAATTGTCCAACAGTCTTGTCAGACATTAATGCAATGTCCATTAATCAAAATCATGAAACCACTAGATCAGAATCATAGAATCATAGCGTACTCATAAAATTTAACTGAAAAGAGACACATACAAGTATTTATATAGACAGACACCTAGAATATGCAGTATTTACAGGATTTTATTTTGGAAGCATTTTAATATTGGCATTTTTAAATTGCTCTAAAATAAAGATGCTGACATGACTTTTTTAAATGTTCTTATAGTGACTGATAGCTTCCCTGTCCCCTCTCTTAGCTTTTCTTATAAGCTTCAGGTCAGCGGCACAATAGCAATTATTAGTGGTAAGTACAACAACCTCAGATGCCCCTGCTCATAAAACAACTCAATTTTTTCCAGAAATAAAGAACAAAGGTAAGCATTTAAAAAATAATTAAGTGTCTCAGGACCACAAGTCCCAATACCTTACAATATGACTTGTGCTCCTAAGTCCCTTAGGCGATTTTTTGAAAATCCCTCCTTAGGAAGCCATGATCTCCCAGTACACTGGGGCTAGTCTGATTGTGATCATTATTGTGCTATTAAAACTGTGCTCTGAATGCTGCTCTTTGTGTGTGTGCGTCTTTCACTTGCATGGTTTGATAGGGCCTTTGATGGACTTGTATTTTGTTCTGGATGTAGGGTAGCTAGTGTCCCTAATGACTCTGCTTGGGCCTATGTTTTTCACAGATCAGGAAAAGAAGGCCTACACCAGCATCACTGGTCATTATGAATGAGCCTGCACCCCCAGGTAAGAAGCAACGTGTCTTCTGAACTGCTGCACTCATATATAGGGGCAATATGTCTTTTGAAATATGATGTTACTAAATATGTACATTCAAGGAAAAGTTAAAAAAAGGTATCATTGAGTATAGAGCACTAAATTTTAGATTACGAATCTTCAGTCTGTTTATAGTAAATACAGTGACTCTATAAACATCTTGGCCCCATTGGTGTAAGTGCAAAATCCCATTGATACCAGTAGAGACAGGATTTCAGCATCCCATGAGTAAATCTCCCATGTTGCAGATGAAAGGAGGACTCCACTGAAAGAAGAATTTAGTTGCCCCAATATCCTGTGTTGCAGATGAAAAGAGGACTTAGTTGCCTTTGTGCTTTGGAGATGAGTGCAGCGATTTCCTCCACAAACCCTCTCCTTCATTGCTCAGATGTTGAGGGGAATCTTTAGAGCTGAATTAAGCTCATAGAGTTCTTGGTCTTCCAGTTCCTAGAGGGATACAGGCCTGAAAAAGAGAGAGCCCAGAAAAAGAAAGAGCTTTTAGATGAATGAGTCAATCTTTCATTGAAACAGCTGGTATTCGCACTCTCGCATGAGAACCCTTGTAGATATTTACTTCCCTTAGAGCTCCTGCCAGAATTTTTTCTTCAGTGGCTGGTTTGTAACTAATTTACACGCGTGTGCATCCTTATGGCCTCCAAAAATGTCTGGTATTTACTTTTAGGAAATCTGTGCAAAAGCACTAGAAAAAGGAAATTAAAAGAATGAATTGCAGAAAAATGTTAATATTATCAAAATTCTTAAATTTACTTAATTTAGACAAAACTATTCTGGAAAAAAACAAAAAAAACAAAAAACCCTGCTGTGGGATGACACTTAGCTTTCAGGATTTCCAAACAGTCTCTTTCCATTCTTCTTTCAGATGTGGAATGAATAATTTACTATTAATATGCTACCCATGCAATGCAATTGATGTTTTCTAATTAGTTTTCTCCACTGTTTAAAAGCTATTTTTTAAAATTATTTTTTAAAGCCAGCAAGAAGAACGGACACTCTGTGTGATACAGTAGGGAAGGTACTCCTTTGAAAGGTGTGATTCCTAGGTTCCAGTCTCATCTGCTAGGACTGTTTATGCACTTGCATTAGACAATCATTGGCTGAAACACAGAAATAACCCTGGCAGTAAGGGACAGAACCCAGGATTCCCTCCTGAAACCCATGATAGTACTATAGCCACTAGGCACAGAGTCATGCTCTCATTTTGGCCCCATGAATCTTGCCTATATGGCTGCCCACTAGATCAACTTCCACAGGAGGGATAGGGTAGGTCCGATTCAACCTATGGCAGTAGTATTACTCTCCTGGGAAATGTAAAATGTTGGTTTAAATCCTTGCAGGGTGACATGGGTCTAGAACATAAGGGTGTTTATACATGTGCTCTGTGGGGGAGGGCTTTAATTAGAATGAGCTTTAGTTAAAGTGCCCCACCTCCATTTGCCAGCACAGAGACGCTGATACATGAGACGTTGGAATCTGCTCCAACGTGCTGTAATTAAAGTGCTTCAGAGCAGCCTTGCTGCACATCTATAGACACTCTAGGTTTCTGACATTCTGAGTAAGTGCTTTCATTGGTAGACTATTGGTCAAAATACGGGTACTGCCACGCAGGTTTGATACTGACGTGTAAGCTTGCTTTTAGCATCAGTCATTTGTCATGCTTTGTGCTCATCTGAAGAATTGGGATTTAGGTGAAGCTTAGGTGCCTCCTAGCAATTTTTGGGATTGCAGCAGATTTTTGGCAAGAGTTAATTGTCCTGGTAACAATGTAGCATGTTTCTGAGCATAAGCAGCAGCCCAAGTCCAGAGTTTTATTTCAGAGCAAAATGGAGATCCCTAATAAATCCAGGAACCTAAGTGTTTTACAGTGGCTGAACAAGATTGATTTGGATTGCTCTTTGTGCCTAAATTCCACTTGAGTCCTATTTGGATGCCTTAAAAATCAATAAGTATTTGACCCTCAGTAAAGAAATCCCAACTTTATTTTTAGATCTATTCCTTTCAGGTTCGGAGTTCTTCCTCTAAAGCACCGAGCACCTTCAATTTACACTATGATGATAATTGAAATTTTCAGTAATTTGTAGGAATAAGCACATAGGGTCAGACCTTGAGGATTAGATTGCCATGTAGTGCAGATTGTGGATGTTCAAAGACAGTATAAAGCTCACCTTGCTCAGTATTGTCACTTGTGTCCTTGGCTGGACTCCAGACTTCTCAACCAAGGGGCTGAGGTTACATTATGGGATTGTTGCAAAAAGTCATCTGCTAGCCAAGTCCTTTGCTTCTTGCCAGACCTTTGTGCTGGCACTGGGGAGAGGGGTTGTACGCTGTTATCCCCCTCCCAGAGCTATACAAACAGACATTAAGGCCAGAGGTGTCAGGCAGTGCAATTGAAAGGTACCCCAAAGCAACAAGAGGTCTACTGTTAGGTTCTGACCTTTGCTTAGCGTAGTGGGTCATACAATGTCAGGACTGCTTGGCCTTAATTTAAAATAAAATTGCCTTGACTGTTTTTCTCTATCAGAGTTCCATCTGTACACTGAACACAGTCACATTTCCTTCTGTAAATAGATACTTAGTACAACATTAAATCAAAGACAAACAGAGAATAAGGACTCTCTCTGATTTACAGGAAACTTAACTGCAAACAAACTAGTTACATGCTTACTGTCCTTTTTCCTGAAATGTTTATACTACAACCCCAAATAAATATTTTTATGACTTTTTACATTGCACTGAGTATCATTTAAGTTCTAGCTATGGCAGAAAAATGGTGTTAACCCTCTCAAATTATTTGTGCATGAGATAAATCATTTTTATAGTTCTTTTTGAAATTCTTTTTGAAAATTCTTAGTGATTTCTGATTTTTTCAGTTATTGTTTTTTAAAACAAATCTTACAGCATTTTTAGTAAATTGTATGCAACTCTGATTTGTGCATGGATATGCTTGTATTCAGATGTGTATGACTGATGTTTGCAAATGTGCAGTGGTGTTTGTATTTTAGAGTCATTTGGTATATAGAAGTGTGGGTAGATTGTAATTAGAAGCCCCTTGGAAAGAAGGAAAATATATGCATCTTGAAGTTCACTATTTCCATCGCTACTTGTATTTTTAACCTGTTAGAAGTGGTTGTGAAAATGCTGGCTTATACAGATGCATTTACATCTTATAAGATGCTAAGCAAAACCTAGGGATGCTGATAATGTTCAATTCTCACAGAAGTCAGCTGTAGTTGGAGGCATTCAGTATGTCTAAGCAGTATACAACACCTTGCCAAAACAAACTTCAAGTGCCAAGACTAGGAATAGCTTTTGCTCAGAAATTATAGAGCATCCAAGAACTGTTAAAATGATCCCTCTCCAATAGTGAGTAATTAATCAGTGTATGGGCTTAGAGTTAATAAATAATAATAATGTAGTCCTAATAATAGTTAACACTTCAACAAACAGCTGTGTGAGCATCATTATCACAGTTTGATAAATGGAAAAAATGTAGGGGCAGAGAGCTGAAGTCAATTACTCAAGTCACACAGCAAGTTAACACGAAACTAAAACTAAACCCATTTCTCTTGAGTTTTAGTTTCTTGCCTTATCCAGTAGCCTACCACTTCCCCAGTTCAGATAAATAGTTTATTGCTGGGTGTACATCAAAAGGTTTGAAGTTGAGAGCTGAATGAGCTTCCAAATATTTGGATGTATTACCTAATGTATTCACATTATCCCAAACTCCTTATTTTGAAGTTTCAAAATAGAAGTCTTGGAAGAGATGACTTTCCTGTAAGCTTTGTGATATTTGCACCTGATTGCAGCTGAAAAGTATAGATAGCATTTTTGGGGTATTTCTGGATGTAGCCTGAGCCAGAAATCAGAAGGGAGTAAAACTTGTCAGATCTATGTTTCAGACCTTTGTAATAATTCAATTTGAATTGTGCTCTACAAAGATCTGAGTGGGTTATTTCCTGCCCCCCGCCAGGCCCCGAGCCACTTCATCCCTCTTGAATGTCTACTATATATTCAGATGCAAACAAGGAATGCATCTTCACTGATACAGTGAAAATATATGTGAAAATAGAACGGTTACTAGGGCTAAAATAGTTTTTAACTAGTAACATTCTCTAACATTATAAGAAAAGTCTACTAGGCTTTCTCAATCTTTACTTTCAAGGAGACAAAAAATGCCAGAGCAAACTAACTGACTGATCTTGGATTTGGCTTCCACAGACTTATGCAGCATATGGGAACATGGCTTGTTCTATTTTCCCATGTACTCTGTTGCTATCACCAAATGACCATGTACAGTTTCACCAATAACTTGCTAAGGGGAAGAGTTAAATCTCAGTAACTGCACCACTTACTGCCAAACAAAACTAAAATAAAATAGAAACAACAGTTGTCAGCTTTGTCTGTACCCACCCTCACAATAATTTGGTGATACATCAAAAAGTGAGGTGTTTTTAGTGATATCTTTTATGGCACTCACTATAGATTGGAGAGAAGCTCAACAAGCTAAACACATATTTACATTAAATGTGGGCATCCTCTGAGACTAAGCAAAGTTTTTGATTGTTTTGTGTTTATCTTGTGATGATATTTTTTAAAACAACAATAGTCAGAACCTTCCCCATCTCCCGTTCACCTCTTCGCAGAACCATGGCAGAAGCATGATGCGGTGTTTTCTCCTGGACCATGCAACATTGTAAATGAGGAATATGTCTTTTGGAAAGCAGGGTAGATACGCACTTTTACAGATGACCTAAATAAGATATGTGTACAGAGCACAAGCTTTCATGAACCCAAATTCACATCACCAGATGCTGTGAAAGGACATGCAGAAAGCAGTTTTTGCTATGTGAAAAATAAATGGCACAGAGAAAAGCTGGTAACTATGGTAAAAAGTGACTTCTGAGAGGAAAAGAATTTCAGGTCATGGCTCAGATTTAAAGTAATCAATGTTCACTTTCATCAGAAAACAATGCCAGCTTCTTTGTATGTACTGGCCTTGTTGTCAAGCCAATACAACAGCAAATGGCCTGTTGGCACCATCTGCCCTGCTCAGGTCACAATGTTCAGGGTGCTTGACACTACTGTGGGCATTAGAATGCTACTGGGTCCTAAAGTTGGCTACGGAAATGCAAACATAAGGATGTCTGCAGTTTATTTTTATTTCCTTTTTGGAACTAAGTTTTTTGGGGGTTTTTGCACTTTCACATACCTGGGTTTTCCAACCCCATCCTGAGAACCTTACTCGGCACTTGAACTGAGGGCAGATGTAGCCTTCTGACTTGATTTCACCTCTTCCAAACTGCCTTCTTGTTAAGTCTCTGGTTATTATTGTTGCAAAGATGATCATAAAACATACCAACCGATGGAACAAATAAATGAATTTTCAAAGAGCGCAAAACAATATCTCTGAGATGTATAAATGTCATTCAGTAGATGTTAATTCAGTGTATGTCTGCCCAATGCAGAGTAGATTAGAGATATCCAGGTTAGCTTTAAATGAGCTAGTGCAAGTGCCAGAAGCAGTAGTGGCAACAGTGGCAATAAATTAGCTGACACGGAGCTGTAGGCTGCTGTGGGTATTAGACTACTTCCGTAACCTGTGTGAGCTGGTTCAGAGCTAGCTCAAGGTTCTCTTCCCTGCTTCGAACTGTGCAGTGTAGGGCTAGGGACAGACATTCAAAAAGCTGGAGCCTGAATTGATTCAACCTTTGCAGGTCAGTCTAACTTGCTTTGGCTGAACCGGTTTGTAACAGCAGAGGCATGCAGGCACATATCAGGTCAGAAGCCAGGGGCACTAGAGCATACCCGCATCTTCAGGGAAGCTGTGCTGGTGAGGCATGGCCAGTTTGGGCTGAACTGACCAGAGAAGAGTTATTCCCTCTTCCATCAGCAGGGACCCAAGCCAGATCTTCCAGGTGTTTCCCACTCACTGCTGCAGTGGTTGGTCAGCATGCCCTCTGAGGCAGATGGGGCAGGGAGTGGGGTTATTCTCTCCTCTACTCCAGATGCAGGAGGGAGGGAGAATAACCCCCATCCCTCCCCCCGCCACAATGCGCCCTGCTGGCCCATATCTGGCCCTGTCCGGTGGGGGCTGCCTGGGGATCAGGCTTCCTGGGCTAGCTCAGAGGTGCTGGCGGGCCCTGAGCCCAGCAGCCGCCACTGCCATGTCCCCTGCCCTGTGCAGCACCAAGGGCTACAGCTACACAAGCAACTGCAGTCTGGCTGGGACAGGGGGTGCTTTTCTGCCCTCCCCCTTGCCTCCAGCTACTGCTGCCAGGGCCGCACCAGGCTGCTCTGGGTGTGTGTGTGTGTGGGGTGGGGGGACTGGGAAGCTTCAGCCTCACAGCTTCTGCCCCACACATGGCGCTCTGGTTCCAGTTCCCAGACCTTGGAAGGCTTCAGTCCGGGAGCTGCAGCCGGAGCTCCATGCGCGAGGCAGAAGCCGCTGGGCTGAAGCCCCCGCCACCTCCCAGAGCAGCTCAGAAGTGGCAGGAATGGGAGGGAGAGTAAACGCAGCAGGTAAGGAGAAGGTGGCTTGTCCCAGCAGAGCTGTTTTTCTCCCCTCACCTCCACCTGGGCACCTTCTGTCTTCCAAGGCATCTGGGAGCTGGAGCTGGAGCCCCATGTGTGGGGCAGAAGCTTCCTGCCCCCATGCCACCCAGAGCAGTGCAGGGCAGAACAGCCCCCTGCTCCAGCCAGCCCACAGCTGCTTGTGCAGCTGCAGCCCCAAGTGCTGCACAGGCAGGGGGTGCGATGGTGGCAGCTGCTGGGCTTGGGGCCCACCAGCACCTCTGAGCTGGCCCAGGAAGCCCACTCCCTATCCAGCCCCCACCTGGTGGGCCCAGACACTGGCCATCAGGGTCCCCTGGGCAGGGCAGAGATGGGGTTAGTCCCCCTCCCTCTGGCATCTGGCAGAGGGGATGGGAAGGGGCTTATTCTGCCTCTCGGGGCAGGCAGACTCAGCTGCGGTCCCCTGGGGTCAGTGGGGTAGAGGGGAGAATAACCCACCTCCCTGCCCCCTCTGCCTCACTGGCCCACTGCTGTAGCAGTGAGGGGGGAGCACCTGGCAGATCCGGCTCGAGTCCCTACTGGTGGGACAGGGGGGGAATTAAACCCCTCTCTGGCCAGACCCCTGCCCCTGCCTGTCCCTGCTCTGGCTGGGGAACAGAGGGGAGTGGCCAGCCCTGCTTGGCTGGAGCAGAGTCCAGCCCAGAGAGCATACCAGGGTGCTGGGGGACTCTGGTTTAAGGTAAACCAGGAAGGGGGTCTGGAACAGACATTGCATAAATTGGTTTGAGCCAAATCAGTTAAGTCTGATACTACATTCAACCAGGGTTATCTCAAACTGGTTTCAGCCATTTTGAAACTGGTTTATGTGCACTGAATGTCTGCTCTGTTACACGTTTAAACCAGTTTTTGTTCACTTAAACTGGTTTATGTCTAATGTTTGATCCTAGCCTACATGTCTGTGATAATTCTTGTGTGGCAACATTTCATAGCTTGCCAAAATGTGTAAGAAGGCAAAAAGGATTATAACAGTTCACATATTCTACTCTGTGAGACAGCTTGTTCTGGTGTCATGAGCAGCTGGGCTTAGGAAAGTGCAATTGTTTGTTTTCCCCTGTTCTTCCATCAGGAAGGACCCAAGCACACCACTGCCAACAGGAAACTTTACCTGGGGAGCCCTAGAGAGAACTTTGGTTTACTTGAAACACACTCTGTGGGACCTAAGGACCAGGGGATTAGCGGAGGCCACCATAACACAAATGACCATAACCCAAGTGACACATTGAACATCTGCACAATGTGCTGAGAGCTTTGTCCTATTTTTGCATCCCAAATAGGTGAGTTGGTTTTGTGGTCAGAACCCAGAAGAGTATTACTGCTTGCTTGTTTACACATATTTGAGCCCTGGATGGTAACTCTGAAGAGTGAGAGTCTACCCAGAGGTACCTGTATAGCATTTGCATGATCATTTTATGGTAACCCCTTTGGGTGCATCCACACAAGCAGGAACATGCACTTGCAGCAGCTCAAATAGCAGCGGCACAAATTTGTGCCCCAGAGATTTGTGCCTCAACACACGTGCCTGATCATGCCCTTTGGTGTGGGGCAAATTGTGCCACTTGGAGCAAACTGACCTGCCTAGCTCCTTCCAGATCTTCAGTTTGTGGTAGGTTGGAGGGGAGTTTGTGGGTGGATGTAGGGTTTGTGGGGGGACTGTGTGGGGGGAGGACTGTTTAGGCAGGATGAGTCCCTCACCTGCCCCCCCTGCACAGCACACAGTTGCCCGACACAGCGCATAGCCCCTCACCCCCAGCAGCAGCAGTGGCTGTTGGGGCACTCATGCCTGCTTCTGGCAGGGCATGGGTCTGGCCTACCCTTAGACAGGATCAGGCCACTCTTGCTGTCACCTGGGGTCCTGACACCACATGCAGAAGCCATGCACCCAGGGACGAGGCTGGGTCCTGCCTCCATGTGCCGTGTGTGCCATTGGGCCAGGTTGGCTCCATGCAGGCATGACCTGACCTGGGTCGAGGGCGTGTGGCTTCTTCCTGTGCTGCCAGGACCCCAGGTGGCAGCAAGAGCTGGCCCAGTTCTGCCCAAGGGTTTGTGGGCTGGGCCAGCATCATGTGCAGCTGCCGGGTCTGAGGTAGCACCACACCACCGGGGTCTCTGCCAGAGTGGGCACAGGCACCCCAATGGCCACTGCTGCTGCTGCTGTGGCAGGAAGGCTGTACACCATACAGGGGGGCCAGGGGACCCACCAATCCTGAGCAGTCCCCCTTACCCCCACACAGTCCCTCCACCCACAGTTCCCACCCCCACCCCTCATTTCCCTACTTACCTGGGACAGAGCCTGGGTCCAATCTGCTGTTGCAGCCTTGCCCCACTCTTACTTGCTCCAGCATGTTGAAGCAGTGTGCTGGGGTATCAGGGGAATGTGGCAGCCATAGAAATGCTCTGGCCAGGTACCAGAGCTTCTCTGTGGGGGACCCAGCCTCCAGTTGCCTCTGACCTGCTCCAGGAGCATGCCCTGCACCACTTTTTTCCATCATTTTTTTTTTTTTTATACTGGGATTTCCCAGTATCAAATTTAGAGTCTGCACTGCATTCATCCCCAGTGTGCCTTTTGCGGCATCTCAGGCTGCTTTGAGGAACTGCAACAGACATGTTCTTGTTTGTCTGGATGTGGCCTTTGTTTGCTTTCCTCTCCAACCACTACCCCTCTCCCCTTTCTTCCCCTATCTCTCTCTCTCTCTCTTCCACCTCCCTTGTCTTTTATATTATAATTTCTCTCTCCTTCTAATACTCTGCTTTCTACATGCATGGTTCGAATTATACTTTGGCTCCTGGGGAGCCAGTCTGCAAAAAAAATTAAACTGGTTCACTGGAACGAGCAATCCTATCAGAGACCCTCCCCCCAGGTTATGATTTTCAAATCTTATGGGGGGCTCTCAACTCCCCCCTAAGCTCCCCCATAATTTGTACCCTTTGTGCATGTCCTTTCACAGCATCTGAAAGCATTGGGTCAATGAAAGCTTGTGCTCTCTGGATATATCTTATTTAGTTAATCTATAAAAGTGCATGTCTACTCTGCCTCCTGACCGACTTCAAACTCACACAGTTAACTAGCTCTTTATAAAGACGAGAGAGACAAGAAAATGAACTACAATGGATTGATTCAGGGCTGGAGGTAAAGATCTTATTTGTATGAATTTCCCATCTTTTCAGTGTGGTCTGGCTGTCCAACTGTGGGTTATTACCCTTCAACAATACATGCTAGATGTATATACTAATGGGAAATAATTCTTTGTTTCTGTAAAGAATTTCACCATTTTTTTCTTTTCATTTGAATTCCATTTTTATTTTTTGTGTTTGTTGAAAAAAATATGTGTTTTTTTTTGCCATAATCCCAAAGAATTTCAGTGGATACAGATCTATTTTGCAAAAATTTCTAAGTATTTAAGAAGATTTATTCTGTTGAAAAAAAAAATTGAGGGCAATGATTTGATCAAGGTTGGTAGATACCTGTTTGACCTTTTCTAGCTCTATATTTAGCAGCAAATAAGAAGCACTGAGTACTTGCAACTCCCGTTATACCATTGCTAAATTGGTTCAGTTCACTCTCTTGCTTTCCCTGTAGAATTAAGCTCATTACTGTTGCTAGTAATGCTTTTCAGTTGAAGAACACCATAGCAAAAGCAGATATTTAGAGGAAAAAAATCTATTATCCTGTAAATTACATAAATGTTTATGACTAATTTATTCCAGTACAAATGTTAATAAATACTTGATTTATTTGGTTTACCTCTAATATTCAGCTTCATCTTAGGCAAAATAAACAGCAGTAGAAAATAAGTCTTCCAGGTGCCCTGTGGCAGACAGATGTCATCTGTGCTGGTATCCAGTTGTAAAGCCAATCCTGCAGTAGTTATGAGGCAAATAGATCATTGAAACCTTAATACAAACTGAAATCATGGGCCTACAATATGTGATCTGACATGATTTTCAAAAGCATTCAGTTTTGGCTGCTGTGGACATACTGCTTGCTCTGGTTGAGGAAGCTGAAAGCAAGTAAGCCAATAACAGCTGTTTTCAATTGCAAATTCGGGCTTGTAACTCAGTAATAAAATACTCAGAAAAACAGTAAATCAATAAAAACTGTCATTAACTGTAGCTTTTTTAAAGTTAGAGCAGTTGGCTTTTCTATATGCTATAAATACCTTTAAATATGTAGTTCTCGAATTAAAGGGTAACATTGTACAAAAGGATCAGAATATATGAATAGGGCAGTGAAAATGAATGACTGTCCAGCACTGCCAGTCCTGGTGCATGTCCAATAATCAGCGTACCAGCACTAGTGCGAACATGAGTGAGTTAAGGCACTGGCAGCTGATGCTGTTTCAACTTCCACATCTTTTAGATCAGTTGTTAACGAGCCAGCCAGCACAATGAAACTGTGAAATAGTTCAGGAAAAAAACAAAACAAGAACAAATGTGCATCAAAGTGATTTTAGAATCAAAAAGGATTATTGTACATTTAAGTATACCTTACCTTTAGCATGCTTGCACAGCTATTTCTGATAGGCATGAAATAATGTCAGTGATAACTTTCCCCTTCACTCACCTCTGTACTGGGGGATCATGTGTAGTCCAATTACTTACCTTTAAAAGCCTTATGGTGAATTTAACTTTACTTTGCAGACTGTTTCCCATATAGGCACATCTAGAAGGTGAAAAGGGGAGTTTGGGAATAGCGATCAGTGCTGCAGTGGAGGATACACCCCCCCCCCCCACCCCCACTCCTACCCATGTGGGCAGGCCAGCAGAGCAGTAGAGGTACTAGTGAGTAGGGGATGGGGGAGGTGGAGGCAGAGATTCTTACCTGATCTGGGGACTTAAAAAAAATTCCTGGCTCTGCTTCTGCAGCTCAGTTGGGAAATCAGGTATCTGGGACTGCAGGGAACTGGAGCCACTGAGCTACATTACGCAAATGAAGGTGGGACTATGCCACTGCAATTCCCTCTGGATCCATCCCTAGTTCTGCAGAATTCTGCAGGACAGCTCACAGAGTGAGGTCCTAGTTCGTGTGAGTAAAGAGGGCAGAATATGCTCCTTACAAAACAGCTCAGCCGTGCTTTCCAAAAAATTGAGGGCAGTTATACTTGAGCTGTTTTTAATACAACTCAGAGGAGAAATATTTCTACATAGCTAATGGATTCCAAACAGAAGCAATAAAGCAAACCAGAAAAAGCTTTCCTTTTGCTTAGTATCCTCAGAAATGCAGACACTCCAGAGTTACATGTTCAGGAAGCACATTCCATTTGTGAGGAGAGAATGAGAATTTGGTCATGCACATTGTCTGCCAAAAGAGCTGTCATAATCTTCATGCTTAGCTCTAGCAAAGTGCTAAAGGTCAGGTTTTCTAGAATGTGATTCATATTTAAGATAAATAATGCATAGTGGCTCATAAACTTAGGGTTCATCTTAAGAGACACTCAAACAGAAGTGGGGGATGGGGATGAGCACAGTTTAAAGAGATAAATACATGTAGGACATTATGGCAGACAAGGTTATTTGGGTAAATCCAATATCTTTTATTTGACCAACTCAAATAGTTGGAAAAATTCTTCTTTGCAAGCTTTTGGGTACAAATACCCTTCATCAGGCAGAGGAAGTGTCTGCAGTTGGCTACAACAAATACCCCTGTAGGACATTACCAAAACTATTTAAAATGTCTCCCATCTAATGACCTCGAGATTGGATTTAATCTTAAAAAATATTGCATTGGAGTCTCTTTTTTTGCCATTTCCCTTGAGCAAGGTGGCAGTCAGATGTGGCCTCAAAGCTTTGCCTGAGTTTTAGCATAAACAACTAAATATTGGTTGTGGAAAGTGGGAATAAAGATAAGACCAGGTGATCTCTGATGTTTATTATAGACTGAAGGATGAAGTTTTCCTTCCCTCATTTGTGTCACCTTTCAGACTCATTCTTGTTCCCCAATTTTGATTAATTTACAATTTTTTCTCTTTAATTTACTTTTCATAGTACTTATGTGAGATAAGATCCATTACACTTATATTATTCCTGAGATCACTAACATGTTAGTTCACATTATAAGTATACACTGAAAAAAATGTTTAGACTGTAGCATATGACCCCAAATGTATTTTTATATGCTGTCCAAAGTTTCATGATTTACTTAAGAGCAGAACGGAAGTGGGATCCCAGATCCTTAGCTATCCTGCAGACACTTTGTCCAGCTCCAGTAGCTTCACATAGTACTGAAGCACCCATTGGTGATGCGTTGAAGGGATTATGGGGAGGGGGGCATATATTGTGCCCTCCTAGATTTCTGTGCCAACACCAGGTTACAGGGCATGGGGCTGCAGCCTGGCTGGAGCCAGGGCCCAGCAGCAGTGTGGATGGCAGTGGCTACACAATTTTTGTGCTAACAGCAGGTCATAAGGCTGCAGCCCAGCTGGATCCGGAACCTGTCAGTAGCAGGGGCAGCAGTGGCAGCAAGGAGTTGTTCCCCCTCACTGTCAGCCCTGAGTCATCTATGAAGCCAGCTGCAACTGGGTCTTGGAGTATCTCACTGTAGAAGTACACTGGGATGGAGTAGAGCTCATACAGTCCCTCCTATCACATCACCTTCCATGTGGCTGATGGTGGGGACATACTGAGACTTCTTTACTGCAGATAGCCACTACAGATTAAAGCAATTCATACAAAGCAGTCTGGCTCAGTACAAATATAGCTTAGTGTCACCTTTGATTCCCTTCCTGAGATGTACAGTGTGCCATTCAGTTGTAGCTAACAATGCAGGCAAAGCTTTTTGCTTGAAAGCTAAATATTTGAACTTTGTTATATATACAGTACATTTTCATTAAGAAACAAAATGCTCTCAAATCAGCATTTGGGCCTTTGTAAAAGTAGGTAATTGATAAAAGAAAGAAAAAAGAAAAGATACATATATACAAAATGTTATGGTTAATCTTTTTATTACATATCATTCCTTCTGTAAACCTTCACCTGATGATAATTACAATGGCCACACATATCTTTGTCAGCTCTTTCATACTGGGATCCATCCGAGACCTAGGTATCTGAGGATGGAAACAGATTTCATCTGATGTCTCATTTGTGTCACTTAAATGAATTGTACTTTGCAAGTTTCACAGGGCATGGTACATTTCATGGTTCATTTTCTGTGAATATTTGGGCTAAAAATGTATTTTCTTTTTGCATTGCTAAAGTCAAGCTGGTTGCAACCAAAAAGTAAACACCAAAGACTGATAACTGTGAACAAATCAAAATTCTCTTCTGACTTTGGCTAAGCCTTCATGGATATTTTTATCCACTATTAACTCCTCTCCAATGACTAATTAACATATCATCATCACACTTTGCATGCCATAACACACACACATGTGCACACATGCATATGCACAAAACCCATGATGATGGTCGATACAGGTTCTGACCAATTCCCTGATCTGAAAATGGTTACGTTCTGTGGTGGGACAGGGCATGAAGTTTGGAATGCAAGAATAGTTCTGAATCCAAATCTTGCAGCTTATTTTCAGCTCTATAGTGTATCTGACCATGTACCATGTACCATGTACCATCATCATAATACTACATAATACTACACGCTCTTCTTGTATACTGACTTTGGCTTTGCATATGAAGGGTGTAATATAAATGGAATTATCTGAAATAAAGTAAAGGAAATGGAGGCTTCCACAGGCTACAAAGCCCTTAGAAAATGCTCCTTGCTAGGTGCTGTGGTCCTGCTCAGACACCAACTGGTGTTGCTCTGCTCAATTGGTCCATCATAGATTCATAGAAGTAGGGTCGGAAGGGACCTTGTTGATCATCAAGTCTGACCCCTTGCCCTGGGCAGGAGAGAAAACCAGGCTCAGATGACTCCAGCCGGGTAGACATCAAGCATCCTCTTAAAGACCCCCAAGGTAGGAGCCATCATCACTTCCCTTGGAAGTTGGTTCCAGATCCTAGCCACCTTGACTGTAAAGTAGTGCCTTCGGATGTCTAGTCTAAACCTACTCTCTAACAATTTGTGGCCATTATTCCTTGTTACCCCAGGGGGTGCTAGGGGGAACAGGGTCTCTCCCAAAACCTACTGGTCCCCCTTGGTCAGTTTATAGATGGCCACCAGGTCCCCCCTCAGCCTTCTCTTGTGAAGGCTGAATAGGTTCAGGTCCCGCAGCCTTGCCTTCATCCTTGCTCTGATGATAGAATTTCAGTCAAGCTCATGGTTGCTTAGTTCTTTTATGGATGTCCCACTTTCATTTGGGGTTTACAGATGGATTTTTCTAACCTTTTGCTATGGCATCTCCATACTTTTATGGACAATTGGCAACCCTGGCTTCAATTGAGTATTTTTTTAAACTATTTTTAATGAAAACATTTTGAAGGTAAAAGTATTTTAGAAGAAAAAACTTAAAGTATTACACGTAAAAAATTAAACTAAATATTTTAAATACAAAAGTCAAAATGTTTTGTTGTGAAAATGTTGAAGCAAAGCATTATGATTTGTTTAGAAATGTTTCCTTTTTCTAAAATGAACAGAACCAGAAATCAGTTTACAAAATGTTTAATGAATCAGAAATCAGCCTACTGTTTCACTGTGCCTAAAAAGAAATTTCATCCAAAAGAAATTTGCCCAGCAGTAATATGTATTGCTGAACTAGGTATTTAGATATCATGGTAATGAATGTAAAATGAAACCAGGATAACTTGATAATGTGGACAGATGAGAGGGGATTATGCTCAGCTTTTAGCACAAGCCTCATTGGGATCAGGATAGGTCTGTATTGCACTTAAATCATCAATCAGGGTAGATCCATTTTGAGCTTCCTGAGAAGCTTATATACATGTTTTCCTATACACTAATAGTAACTGAAGCTTGGCTTTGAAATAGATTGGTGGGAGCAATTTAATAAACCTGAATTAAATTCAAACAGAGACTCCAGTCAAAATGTAAACCGGCTGATGATAAAATCTGTCATCAAATATGTAGGACCAGATTCTTGACCATGGCTGAGTGCAGAGCACAGCTCAGGGGCTTATAGGGAAGTGTATATAAAGGAGACATAAGGCTGACCTTTGTACTCCTCTGATCTTGGGTGGCCTGTGTTTGTTTGAAGCTGGTCTCTTAGTGGCAATTAGATAAACTTGAAGGTTTTATCATACTGCTGTACTAATCAAGCCTGTATCTGCAATGTTCAGGACTTCTGCAGAGCTGTGTTCGGAGCTGGCAACAGCTCTAACTTTATTCTCTCACCTTTCATACTAATTATTCACACAGTTGCATTTAAAATAATCTCCTTCAATTTTTTTTATTGAAAATGGTTGCACCCCTCAGTCACTGGAATAGAATTATGATCAAGACTCCAGGAAAATTGTGTGCTTGCTCTGCATTTGTGTTCTCATTTGGAATGTCTGGAATGCACCCAAGTAATAAATGCCTTACTTGTCTGACCAAAATGTGTATCTGAAAGATGGCTAGGAAGGTTAAAGTGCTTTTTAAAAGACATGTTCTTTACATGGGGCATTGCTCTCCTTCTTGTCAATATATGCAGAGAAGAGGTACACAGCAGATCCCATCCCTGATCTAGACAGGTGGAGAGTCAAATCAAGCAAGAAGCTTCCAAGTATCTCTATACTTTACCATGGCATGTAGAAGCACCTCAATAAGAATACTCCAG